TACCTCGAGAATATGCTCAGTCAGCGAAATCAACACCGAAATCTTCAAAAATCTTACCAACAGTTTCACCAGCTTCCCAATTACGTCCAGCGAAAACCTGGTTGAACTCGTACTGCTCGGAGGGGTTTCCCAGTTATGATGATTTCCTTGAAGTTGTTGGAGCAGCCTACCTCTTCAAAACTGTTCACGGTAAACCCGTGTGCTTTCATTATGGGTCTCACTTGCGCTGCCAGTGCACGCATGAGTTGAAGAGCGTCGTCATCGTCTTTGTCTAGCACAGAGATGAAATTGATGTGGGGATTGGGATTTGCTTCCTTTTGGTTCAAGCGGTGGTGAACCATATTGCCAATGTCAGCCAAACGTCACTGCCAACGGGGTACAGTGCAAACGCAGAAAATAGGTATGAACAAGTCAATGTAACAAGAGCAGTGACTCATTCAAATTGGGAGCGCGATCGGGCCACGCGGGACAAATTGGACGCGCCGCGGTTCATTGGGCGCTTATTATTTTTCTTCTTTCTTCTCGCCACTGCATGGTCCAGCGTATCAAGTCTCATCGGTAATCGATATGGTCAAATTCTGATGCGAAAAGATTCCTCCACGATAGTGTCAAGCTTCAGGACTTCAATATAAGCTTCAATGCTGCACGTCAGCCCGCAAGTGGTACTTGGCTGCCCAAACTGTCTTGTACGACTCCCTCGGCCTCTTCCCAAATTCTCTCCGGAGAGTGGGAAATCATTACCGAATGCACATGCACTCTCAAGAATCCTATTCCCCCTTGCGAATTGTATCTGTAATGTTTAACTATCCGCGAAAAAGATACTTATGGAAGAGCCGATTCAAATCAATCAACCGAGACATATCATTCCATCGGTTGATCCTCCGTTGGAGACTTTCACGCTTCCCGGCATCAACCTGCGCCACTGCTCACCACCACTCGGGTCATTGTCGTATTTGGCATTGAGTGCGTATCAGAGTATTCGTGACCTCCTTCCTGCCGGCCTTTCGGGCTTTTATCACTCGCGTCTCGCTCGCCTGGCTCGGCATCGCGGGGAACCGCGCTGGTATTCAGCAAGGGTCAGCGCACGGCGTCTTGTCTCGTCCCCAGTCTTTTTGCGTTGACAGGGAGCATGCGGTCCACATTCCAGGGATGATGCATGCATCGAAGTGAGCGCGACTCTGACGATTAGAGGTAACCGACCAGATCCATTATACCCTTTCCTATTTCGCTACCTTCGGTGTACAGTGGCACTCCAAGTCCCTGTGTACCCTCTTTATTGCAAGGAGGTCCCGAGGCAGAAGAAGGCCTTCTTCGAACAGCTATCTCTTGAAGAAGATGAATGAAAATATCATAGAGACTGTAAGCAACGAACTCGAAGGCTATTTGGCTTGAAAATGAAGGTTGGATGATGCTCGCTGTTGTTACTCTGACAAAAATGATGCTCATTTATTTCCACAGATCTTCCAATAACTTTTCATTGGACAGTCAGCATTTAATGCCACTATATATACGCATACAAACCAATCTGCAACATAAAAATTGCAGAAAAAATCTTACAAATGAAATAACATCATCGTAAAGATCGACCAAACATGCACCCACTATAAAACCTAAAGTAACACGAACAAATTCCCCAAAACATCCTGACTCAAAGCGGTAGCTCATGGCAAAATTGTATTTCGATGCCACGATCTGCATACCAGGAAGAGTCATACGCGGTTGACCAAGCTGGGACTATAATGTTTTGCAAAGGAAGCCCAACGGCTATTCTCGACTGGACGAATGCCCTGAGGGTGCCCTCGATTTCTCTGTCGCCTGTTTCTTGTTTTGACGTGGCGACACATACTTGCTTTAAGAGCGGCCAAAGTGTGTATGCATCATCATCCCCCACTTCCGCCTCTTCTAAAAATTCTAACAAGGACACGCCGTCAGACTCATCGCCAAATGAGATGGCAAGACGTTCGACATCCGGGAAGAGGTCGCTGAGGGAATCTATATTCCAAACATCGACCTTTGTTTCATACAGGGAAACGGATTTGACGCGTAGGTGCGACGGGTGGCGTTCGCGTGTGATGTGCGTGGATGTGATTAACCCGTCGAGGTCGTAGTCATGGCAGTGTTTGAGGGTAAGATGCTGGAGGTTGGGGAGGATGAGTGAGGAGAACAGATAGTCAAAATATGTATCCGCTTCAAGGATAGCATTCGGAGAGATGACTTTCAAGGATAAAAGGTTGGGGAGGTCGATGGTGACCCGTGTCCGGCCTATCGGATTTCCCAACGGTAACTCACATAATGTGAGATGTGTTAGAGCTGAGGCCTTTCCGATGGCATTAAGAGTCAGGACATAATCTCCGACTCCGATGACAATATTCTCGGTCCTCCAGCTATCTAGCGAAAGGCGAGTAGCCGCACCCAGCGGAGGCAGGCATTGGTCTAAGCCAATGCCACGGATCTTGATAACGGTCAACATTGGTGCCCCTCCACCAAATAGATGGCCAGGAACTTCTGAATATCCCTCGTGAGAGTACACGAGCTCATATTCTATCGCTATAACAAGATTCCTGAGCTGTGGCGCGGAGATATCACGGAAAAGTTGCAAGGTCTTGACTGTGTCATCGACACTGGCTTGTGCAACGTCGATAGAGAGTGATCTGCACCTGTCGAAATGGTTAAGCCATGGTTCCGGGTCGATCGTGTCATCCATGCCGAGATGGATTGTAATGTCGATGAGGCACTGGTGGGACCTCTCTAGGAAGAGAAATGCTAGCTGATTGCGCTCTCGAGATAGCAGTATCTGGTTCCATAAGGTGGCGGATTGCAACGCGATATAATTCCAACGCCGGCTTACGTGCGACACAAGTAGTGGGAAGGGTAAACGTTGGCGTCCACTTCGTTTGTAGCCATAATTTGAGCGATAGAACATCATCCCGACTTGATCGTCGATCTTTCCCTCTTCAAATATAAGGCTCATGATAACCTCCGAGAGTCTGTCGATTCCCGAGGTCGGGCCCAGCTCGCTTGCTCGCATCGGTTCTGCGAGCGATAAGGGATGGCCACTCGTGTGCACATGACTGGAGGATGCCAAGTCATCGGCAGGGTTTTCTGTAACATGTGGAGCCATTGGATCTGATCCGTTCAGATCTAGAAATCCTGTAAACAATGAGCGAATCGTGTTGAACATTGGAGCGAACGTACGTTCGAGCTCAGCGGCGCTGGCAGCCTTAAGGCCTCAAGTTGCTGCCACGTTGTCAGTCAGATTCGGCAGAAAGCTCGCTTCAACAATCTCGCTTTCGTGCACTGATCCGCTCAGTTCAGTACTACCTCAATTGATCATGGTAAACCACACACCTCGAGCTCTGACTCACCAGGATATCCGTGTCGTGTCGTGGTCCGTGGAATAGTTTCGACTTTTTCAATAGGCTTTAGTTGGCATGACAGATATACGTATGAGGCGCCGGTCCGGTCTCACTGTTACTTTGTCTCCTCAACCTACCGCGATTTTTCCGGTGTCCAAAAGTCTTTCAATAAGGCACTTCGATGATCGATCAGGCTTCCTCGATCAGGCTTACAATTCATGACGCTATACAACTTTCAAACTCCACTCGCGATCTCCGACTCTTTATCGGCACACCTGCTTGGTCTATTGATATAAGTAAGGCACTGATGCTAGATTATCTTGCACGCTTTCTACTCCTTTGGTGATAGCAACAATGTCCCTTCCCAAAGTGATGAGAGCAGTTGTCTGCCCATCTGTCCCCATCCCCCCCTCGGGTTTGAAATACACGACTGAACATCCCACTCCGACTCCCAAAGCTGGTCATGTTCTTATTCGCATCAGAGCATTTGGCCTGAACCGGTCAGAACTGTTCACTCGACAAGGAATGTCCCCGGGACTGGAATTTCCAAGGGTTCTCGGTATCGAATGCGTAGGCGAGGTCAAGGACTCGGGCGGGGGAGAAGCTTGGAAAGAGGGGGACATCGTCGCCGCAGCCATGGGAGGTCTCGGCCGCAAGTTCGACGGTGCGCAGCTGTCACCACAGTTTTAATGTCGCACGTTGACCTCAACGACCAGGTGGGTATGCGGAATATGCGTTGGTACCGCATAAGTCGGTCTCGCTGCCTGTCACTCTGCCCAAGAATATCGGATGGGCCGAATTTGCCGCCATTCCCGAGACGTTCTTGACAGGTCAGTATATACTACTTTCTGCATGCTGTGATACTGACCCAATCAGTATAGCTTGGGGGACTCTGGGCCAGTCACTCAACCTTACCTCCGAAGATACCCTTTTAATCCGAGGAGGTACAACCAGCGTTGGCTTAGCGATGGCCACCCTCGCCAAGACCCTTTTCGCCGTCCCCAAAGTCATCGCGACGACCCGCTCGAGTGCTAAAATTGATGTTCTCACGGCTGCTGGTGTCGACCATGCCATCGTCGATACCGGAAATGTCAGCGAGGAGGTTATGAGACTCACCGACGACAAAGGCGTGACTAAATGTGTTGAGCTTGTTGGGGCTACCGCATTGGCCGATTCGTGCGCGAGCTTGAGCTCTCATGGGGTCATTACCTTCGTCGGTGGCGTCAGTGGGCAGTTTGTCGTCGAGAATTTCGATCCTATGGGCAGTCTTGCGCCTTTCAAGGTCAGAGCGATGCTTTCTTTTGCGAAGCGTACTACTGCAGCTAACACGTCCCATATCAGCACCTGACTATGTATGGCTCTGAGGCCCTCGAGATCGCTAAAGCGCCGCTGCAAAAGATTGTTGATGCCATTGCCGAGGGCGAGATCAAACTTGGCCTTGACAAGGTATTCAACATGGCAGATGTGGGAGAGGCACATGCGTTCATGGAGGCCAATAAGGCAAAAGGCAAAGTGGTTTGTGTAGTTGACTGAAAATCAAATATTGTAGAATTGATTTGACAATGAAAAGTATATCGTCCGTTTCTCTATTCTACGTTGCGACTTTCGTGTAGTATTATTCCTAGGCCTGTTGCGGTACAAAAACGACCCGCCCGGGACTTGAACCCGGAACCTCTAGCTAACCAATTTTGACACTAATCGGAGACTAACGTGATAACCATTACACTAACAGGCCGACTAGGAGGAAGTAGATAAAGAAACACTCATCTCGCCGATTCACCCATGCGGCCACCGATTTCAGTTACTGTGGCACATGACAAGGACCGGCTATTGACATTAATATTAACATAATCATATAGACGAGACCAATACATGACTATCGAAGCCTCTGAACCGAAGAGAGAGAGATGCATCAATCATTGATTAAAATTAAAAACAGAGGCTAAGTTGAAATTGGAGCGGTGCACTCACAATGAGTTCTGCATACATGATACCATACCGGATGTTTCCCTCTTCTTCTGTGACGTCAAGGTATTTATTAAGCTTGTATGCGGCGGATAGTGAGTGATTATCCCTGAAGAAATATGCACGGCCTCATTACCCGGTTTATGGATAATGGAATGCACGAGGAAGTGAGCGACTTTGCTAATAATTGGATTTAAACAGGAGGGTGAATTGTAATCTACTAGGGATGTAGTACTGTGCTTACACAGAATAAGCCATCATCGATGTGATGGGCGGACAATGTACAGAATTTCTGGCCAGTGTTTTATTCTGATTCCTCGTCGTCCTCGTCATCCTCGTCCTCGTCATCGTCCTCGTCCTCATCGTCCTCGTCGCCCGAGTCGATGGTGCCCCATGGTAGACCGTCGACTTTATCCCATCTAGCCAAATAAACACGCTCAAAAGACAGCAATTGGCTCCACTAAAAACAAGTGACACGTACTTGTCATCGTCCTTGGAAATGGGCTTTTTAGGAACACCACGATAGCTTCTGTACCTTCTGCGCTTCATCAGGGTGAAAAGTGTGGTGTAATTGCCATGGGAATTCTTTTGGCTTCCCGTATCCTGAAAACTACCACCCGTGTTGTGTGCCGACCAGCTCCAATTAACTGTACCTCCTAGGCCAACAGGTGCTCCTGTAGCGTGAGCAGCGACAGAAGGATCAACCTTTCCATGAAGTTTGAGTGTAACTTCTTTATCATCTGCAAGGGGATATTGTCGTAATCTGCGAGAACGAGGAGCCATATATCAACTCACTCTTATTGGAGAGATACAGACTGGCTGCTGGACACATGTACGCCTCGAATACGATGTGTTTCCCCTTTACCTCTGCGACGTCAACCAATCTGTTGAGCACATTGACGTTTGGGATCTGCCAGAGTTGTGGGCTGTGCATCACCACGACCGCGCCTCGTTTCCCGCCGAATTCCCATGTGCTAGTCAAGGCCACATCTCCTAGCCCAGGCACATTGCTGAAGACGCCCATTCAGGACGTGGTTATCATCGATCCGAAAGATTCTTACATTTCGGGTGTTGCAGAGAAGTGGTGTTCCCTCGCAGTCTCTGTCGAGACCGTCCAGTGAGGAAGAGAGTTGCCCGGTTTGATATCATCCTTGATGGTCTTGTTGGGAATAAGTTCATCATCATAGATGTTGCCATACTTGACAAACGCGCCAGTTCTGCGATTGATTTTGCCGAAGTCACCGACCTAAATTATGCAGCAATCAGCCATTGACATCGACGGGTCTGATTGGCTCCCCTACCTGGATCGGGTTTGCCAGTTCCCAGTTGGCATGTTTTCCCGTCTGATCAAATATGAGATCGATGAACTTGCGAGGTATGGTCTTTTTCTGCATAAAATCCATGGTGGGATAGGAAAGCAAGAGTGAATCGTCGGCAGGAACCGATGCAGTTTTAATAGCAATAGAGAACTAAGCCTGGGCTCGATAGGACCCCCGAATACAAGTGGTGAACCCAAACAGGAATTTTGGAATATAGTTGTTTTTGTTCGGACAGCAGACTGTGATACTTAGTGTATTTTGTTCGGATTTTGTCGGTTAGCGTGCTGTAACGGGATTGGGCACAAAGACGCGGGTCGCTTAACTGCTGAGACTTGAGAAGCTTAAGATCGAGGACTGTAACGAGAATACAGAGTTACATGGTTTGAACATACTGGGTGGAGCCAAGCATTAGCGGCTTAAGTAAGACAGCCGTGCCTCAAGATTTCTACTTCAGGCACCAATGTGAATATAGTTCGCCCATCTCTGCAGTGCCTTTCCCTCATTCGCAAGGTTCTTCCATGGTTTTAGGTTCTTTCTCATCCTCCTGACTACTTCGCTAAGTGCTTCTGCAGACTTCCGGGAGTCATTTTCCTTGAACATATGCTCATAGAAGACCTGAGCCACCCTGGGTCCGTCCTTGTCCTCCATCGGCCACAGTGTGCCTACAACACTGCGAACGCCACAGAATTGTACAGCTGCGGCGAGGTGCAAGGACTCATCAGGCGTATTGGAGTTGCCTCCTGAAGTCGCGCTGTCGCAAGCGGCTAGAAACGCGAAGTCGGCATTGGGAAGACGGGCTTGAGCCAGACTGGACAGTGACAGCGGGTGGTCCTTGGAGTCCTCCAGTTCGAAAAAAGATTGGAAAGGTTCTGAGGTACTGAGACGGCCGTGGCACGCGAAATGGGCCCATCGATGCAAAGGCAGCTGTTCAAGCACTGCCTGGCGAGTCGCGTCAGCGCCGATCACGCTGTGAATCCGACCAGTCCATCCCGCCTTCTCTATTGCATTGTGCTCCTCAACGACCTTTTTCAGCCTACCATTGAGTTCAAGGCCGGGATGGATGACAGTTAATAGCGACGGTGCGCTCTCACTGCCACTGGAATTGGTAGAGTCTGGCGGATTATTGATTTTTCTGGCGCTGATGAGGGCGGAAAGGGTGGGTGTATATGAAGTTATGTACTTGACGGGGAGGTCCCCAGCCGCGTGGATCGGGAGAGCGCATAAAGCTGAAGTCGGGCACCACCAGATCCTCGATTTCTTACGCACGCCCAAGCTTTCCAACTTCTCCAAAACAGGTACGACCAGGAGATCCCCCAACTTCTTCAAAATGACCGTCTTCAGCAGTTCGGAGAATTCATCACTGTTCCTCTTCGTGAAAAGCTGACTTGACAGCTCCAGGAATGTGATGTATGCTGACTGGCCACTTTTAGGATCCACTGACACAACAATGGGTAGATTGCCCGTGTGGAGGATGATGGCGTCTGATCGCTGTTTAGCGACGTTCACAATGATGATGGGCCCTTCTGCGGCTGCATCCTGAAGTTCATTGAATGGTACGGTTTTGAGGAAGTGTTTGCATCCGGGCAATTGATGAATCTGCTGGATAATTTGATCTCTTTCCAAATTGAGCTCTCGCTGCCGTTTCCATCTACCTTCGGTGACCGCTGCGGTCTCACCAGGACCTTCACCCGACACTTTATCCGATCCCGGCTGCAACGATGTAGCGAGAGCCTCAAGCTGCTCGCTTGTGGCCTTGAATCGATTGGCCAATACTGGATCAACCTTGTGCACATCTTCGACGGGGTGCCTATTACCGCGCATACTGGACCACAGTATAGCACGACCCTGTTCGAGCATTTCTACGGCTGTCTGAGGATGTCCATGTTCAATGGCATAGGCTGCGGCCGACATTGCAAGAGAAGGGGACAGGTGGTGGCTGCCCAGTGCCTTGCGGCGAAGCTCTACATCGGGATACACTGCAAGTACGAGCTGGAGAAGGCTGATAGCCATTTCATAGGCCTTGAGCAGCAAGGGCCTGTCATGTTCTTCGAGAAGTGCTATCAATTGACATATACAAGCATACCGACCTTTGGGGGTGTCAGAGACGTCACTGGCTCCAGAGTGCAGCAATTGAACCGCCTCATCGATGTCTGCCATTTGACTTGACTGAGTAAACCGGGTTTGCAATGCACTTGCAAGATGGCCGAGAGAGTAATGACGATCGGGGTGGCCCGGTGGGCGTAGAACAAGAGCAGCTCGCTGGTAGGTGAGCGAATCCTCCAAGTCGACCATTTGACCCAACCGTTCAAACCGGATTCGCAACGCATTTGCAAGTTGGCCGAGGGAGTGATGACGATGGGGGTGGCCCGGTGCCCGTAGGTCAAGAGCGGCTCGCTGGTAGGTGATTGATTCTTCCAAGTCTGTCATTTGACCCAACTGTTCAAACCGGATTCGCAATGCATTTGCAAGATGGCTGAGGGAGTGGTGACGATGGGGGTGGCCCGGTGCACGCAGGTCAAGAGAGGCTCGTTGATAGGTGATTGACTCCTCCAAGTCCGCTATCTGACCCAACTGTTCAAACCGGACTCGCAGTGCATTTGCGAGGTTGCCGAGAGAGTAATGACGATGGGGGTGATTTGGTGGGCGCAAATCAAGAGCAGCTCGCTCACAAGTGATTGATTCATCCAAGTCCGTCATTTGACCCAACTGTTCAAAGCGGATTCGCAGTGCATTTGCGAGATTGCCGAGAGAGTAATGACGATGGGTATGGCCCGGCGGACGCAGATCAAGAGCGGCTCGCTCATAGGTGATTGATTCCTCCAAGTCCGCTACCTGACCTAACTGTTCAAAGCGGATCCGCAATGAGTTTGCGAGGTTACTGAGAGAGTAATGACGACGGGGATGGCCCGGTGGACGCAGATCAAGAGCGGCTCGCTCATAGGCGATTGATTTCTCCAAGTCTGCCATTTGACCCGACTGTTCAAATCGGATTCGCAACGCATTTGCGAGGTTGCCGAGAGAGTAATGACGCTCTGTGTGGCCCAGTGGACGCAGATCAAGTGCGGCTTGTTCACAGGCGACCGATTCCTCCAAGTCTGCCATTTGACCCAACTGTTCAAACCGGATTCGCAATACATTTGCGAGGTTGCCAAGAGAATAGTTACGATCAGGGTGATCAGGTGGACGCAGGTCAAGAGCAGCTTGTTCGTAGGTGATTGATTCCACCAAGTCTTCCGTTTGACCCAACTGTTCAAACCGGATTCGCAATGCATTTGCAAGGTTACCGAGAGAGTAATGGCGATCGGGGTGGCCCGGCGGATACAGATCAAGAGCGGCTCGCTCACGGGTGATTGACTCCTCCAAGTCTTCTCTTTGACCCAACTGTTCAAATCGAATTCGCAATGAATTCGCGAGGTTGCCGAGAGAGTGATTACGATCAGGGTGGCCCGGT